TGTGTGTGTGTGTGTGTGTGTGTGTGTGAGTGAGAGTGTGTCTGTGTGTGTGTGTGTGAGTGAGTGTGTGTGTGAGTGAGTGTATGTGTGTCTGTGTGTGAGTGAGAGTGTGTGTGTGTGTGTGTGTGTGTGTTTGAGTAGCTTAGAGGTAAGGATCGAAGTACAAGGAGTTGAACTTGAGCTTGTGAATCAGAAGCGAGAGTCATTGGGCTCCCCGCCCCCAGCGTGAGCGCTTGCCTACGTGCTGAGAGAAACGACATGCAGAGAGCCGGCGCTTAGCCCCATGACCAACGGATTTCATTTAGTCCTCTCAGCTAAGCCCATCCATCTCTGTACGCCCACAAAACTCAGATCGCGCGCGTGCAAAATGCACTTTTGTGCGCTCAAAATATGATCTTTCGTGCGCAGAATTGTAAGCCCATAATGTATCGGTACTTTTACTCCGCTATTTTCCTCCGTTTGTGGTCGTTACATGCTTATTTTAATTTTATTTTTATCCATCAACGTGATTGGATAGAGAGTAATAGGTCTCGTGACTTTCGTCAAATCAAATTGTGCATAGAAAACTTTAACCGCCAACTGTTTATCGTGGCTCAGCAAAGAGACATGCATGCGTGTGTGTGTGTGTGTGTGTGTGTGTGTGTGTGTTTTCCTTTGAAAAAGTTTCCCCAGAAATACCTCGCTATTAAATGCATTTTTCCTTACAAATTGTATTATCAGCATAACAATTTGAGTAAATGTGTAAAAGGTATGGCATGAATTTGCCATCCTTCTACAACAATGTGCATTTATGTTAAAATTGTAACATAAATTATCAATTTTATTTCTTTATTGCAAAAGGCTAAAACTGGCACCGTTTTGGAGAGAAATGGGCTCTCGTTTGAACCCATATCATGGTGTGTGATGCTGAACTATGAGTTTCTAATGGTGTTTGTATTTGCACTGTTCTAAACATTAATATTTTATGTGCAACAACAGCATATGCTGTCTCAGTGGCCTTACACATGATTTTAACATGATTGTACTGAGAATAACTTTCATCTTTTCTTCAACTGAATACTGTTTCCGTGCTGTTTTGATGTATTTTAAAGAGTTGGCAGTCAAAATTAAAACTGCTGGATGATAGATACTCTTCATTCTTTATGACAAACAAGATAATGTGAATTACAGAATGTACAACGTTTTTAAAATGTGTCAATTGCAGTGTACAGCGTTTATTATGAAGGGGAAGAATCCACAGCTCAGTACTCACTACTCAATACTCATGAGTACTTTTAAATAGGCTACTCTTTAACTCTTACTCAAGTAGTTTTTGGACAAGTACTTTTACTCTACTCACAGTACATTTTTTGGAAGGTAATGGTACTTTTACTTGAGTATATTTTCTCAGTACTCTTTCCACCACTGACGCTCGCATTAACCTATAGGTGCAGAAACGCACACGGCCGCCGCTCATCCAATTAAACCGGGAACATTCCTTGACCTGAACCTACCGCATTTTGATCTGAATGTTTTCCATTAGCGGAGCAAAAGGATGCTGCAGGAGCTTTTATCAACATTGACTTTTTTGTAATGACATTTGACCAACTAGTTTCAAGGCAGTTTTTAGTGGATGCACGAAAAGTGTTAAAAAAAAAGTATTTTTGTGTGTATTTTCCTTAAAATAACAGCCATTTGATTTGATATTTCTGTTATGTGCACTGCAATTCTACTATTTTACTCATAAAATGAGGATTTCTTGGTATAAATCAATGCATTTGGGTTTATTCAGCAATATCAAATCATATTTTTGACCAGTTTATCCAAACAGTTGCTGGTCCCTATTGACTTCCATAATATGGAAAACAATACTATGGAGGTCAACTTGAGACACAATAGCACTAAATGAGGTTTGTGACACGTCTCTCAGCAACCAACAATAACCTCTGTCTCAGGATCACCTACTATTTAAAAGGCTAAAAATAAAAGTGGGTTAACGACAGGCACTTGTTACTACGTATGATTAGTGTGGGGAAGCAGGCAAGGGTCAGTCTTGAGCAACTGCGGTGTGAGGAGAGTGGCGGGTGGTCTTCACAGACACCCCCTTACAGCTGCCATAAAGCGCCAGAGCCTCGTCCCAAAAGAAAAACTGAAACAATCCTATAAAAGACTCTGTTATCAGCAGGTCAGAGCTCTTAAGAGATATATACGGAACGATCCAGGCTTTTACACAAGCACCATGTGCTGTAAAACCTCAGAAAGGACTGGCAGACACCAAACCTGCTCAATGCTCGACTCGTTGATCAAAAATGAGATTTTCCACATTTGAAGGCATAATACTTGGTGGACTAATTGTTTATTGTGATTATTACTACTAATAAATGGAATTATTTAAACATTTTGTCACATTCCTTTTGCAAACCTTTAAAAAAAGCAATCAACAAATTAAAGCTGGGGGGAAAAAAAACTTTATTTTTGTGGCATTTTCAGTATTGGATTTAAATATGGTAAATGTGCTAAACTGAGCTGCTCTTATTTGTAGCTGAATGCATAATCGCAAGTGGCAGGAAATTGTAAAGCAATTTGTGAATGACGTGGACTGCAATTCCGCAAGTATCTATCATTTTTTCCAAGGGCACAGATTCAGTATTTAGCTCATGCTTTAATCCAAAATGACTTGCCTAATTACTATTTCTTTATGAGACTGCCATGTTCAGCAGATGGCAAGCACTAAATTATGAATGGTTATCTGCCAGAAATAGAGATGTACTAGCTATAAAAAGACGTCCAACACAAATAAAAGGAAAAGCCGGTTTTGTTTTGGGTGTTGTGTCATGATTGAGTCGTGTTGAAAGCAGTGAGTCTTGAGTTTGCGCCTGAGGATTAGGAGGGATCCGTCTGTTGTAACATTTAGTGGAAGCTGATTTGACTGTTTGGGTGTGAGAACAGTCAAGTGTTTCACTTAGCTTTGTTGTAGGGAAACAGGGTTGTGGGTGTGTCGAGGCGTGCTGTGGGAGTCATGACGGCTGTGGTCGTAAACCGGGCGATGTATTGAATTCTCACAATATATTAGTGGCAAAATTAGCAAACGATTAAGCATCATCATGAATAGTACCATGCTTTTTAATGCACTGTTCATGTGTACACACTCACAGTTCTCTCTGTTAATTTCATATTTGTTTTATTTAATATGCATTTATTTATTTATTCATAATGCTTGCACAACGCTTGTGAACATTTAGTACTCAGGGGCGATAGTGATCCAGTAGAGGGAGTGCTGAAGGTCTAGACAGTGTGATATACTATTATTATATATATATATATATATATTATTATTACTATTTTTTTTTTTTCGAATTTATTTTTATAATTTCTGTTTTTATTTTCATTTTAATGTTTTAGTAAATTTGTTGTGTTTTTGTCATTTCATACTGTACATATATATATTGTATTTGTACAATTTTTTTTTACAATTTTTCAGCTGAAATTAAATTAAATGTTACTTTTTTATTTATTTATTTTTTAATGGTTTATTTTATTTCAGTTAATTTTATTCTATTTTAAGTCATGAAAATGCTGCAGATCGATGACACTGGAGTAGTGGGCACATTTGAACTTAAGAATATATTTATTTTGGGCATTTTTAATTAATAAGGACAGTGGCCAGGTGACTTTAAAACCTTGTGAGCTGGATTTCCTGGAACTTTCTATTTGGAATTACATATAAGTGAAAATAAAGTAAACTCAGAGTGCTGTGTGTTTACAAAGTGAGCTGCGCTGGCGCTGTGGACATCTGAGTTCATTTAGAGTGCTCTCATACAAGGCAAACTTATTGTGAACCACCCTAAAACTAGTGCTGAACAATAAGCAAATGGGATGCACCAGTTATGACAAAGCAAGCAGCATGAATCTGGTAATGATGAAGATATGCATACTTTCATTTCTCACCCACATCATCCCAGCTGTCATTCGCTCCATTCACATACAGACAACAAAGACTGCTGAAGCTGTACCTACTGTGAGTCACGTACATAATATAAACACTAACCCACTGACAAATCAAGTCTGAATGACTAGCTCCTACAGGAACACATTCCTAAAAGTGTGTTATGCTCTCAATTTGATTGGTCAACCCAGGCGAGCAGCTAGAGATACGCTGCATCTTCGGCACTTGATCTTGACTGCTAGTCAGATTGCTAAGTGCTAACTGTGCTAACATAGTGTCCAGTTGGCTGCTTCTCATCGCCAGTCAATCAACCCAGTCATTGCAATTTTTAGCCGTGAGTTTCGAAACGCCCTGCACCATAGAACTGTCCACACTGTCAACAAATGAATCTTAACCAAATCCCACAATGTCCCAGATGAAAAATGGACAAACTGACTGTTTCAGAAACATCTGTTCTCTTTAAAATCACCCGAAAGCTTGACATAGGAAATAATCATAATATAAAACTCAACTTACTTTTCTTTCTTTGATTTGACTTCTTCCTTTTGCCTATAAAAGACAGATGCAACAGAGGTTTAATTCACTCAAAATTAATATCATGTCACTCTTTACTCATCCTTGGTGTTACTTTTTCGCTGGAACACAAACATAATTTTGGAAGAATCTTCAAGCAGATCTTTAACACAACACCATATTTCCAAGCAAATACAGTGCCATTAAACCAAATCCCACAATGTCCCAGATGAAAAATGGACAAACTGACTGTTTCAGAAACATCTGTTCTCTTTAAAATCACCCGAAAGCTTGACATAGGAAATAATCATAATATAAAACTCAACTTACTTTTCTTTCTTTGATTTGACTTCTTCCTTTTGCCTATAAAAGACAGATGCAACAGAGGTTTAATTCACTCAAAATTAATATCATGTCACTCTTTACTCATCCTTGGTGTTACTTTTTTCGCTGGAACACAAACATAATTTTGGAAGAATCTTCAAGCAGATCTTTAACACAACACCATATTTCCAAGCAAATACAGTGCCATTATACATTATGTTTGCATTAAACATTGTAAGTTATCGTGATCAAATTTCATTGGCATCAAATCTGTTGCGACATATACTGTATATGTCGCAACAGATTTGATGCCAATGAAATTTGATCACGATAACTTACAATGTTTAATGCAACTGAAGTCCAACATGTGCCATAGGCACCTTTGATTTAAAATCTCCAGAACAAGGGAAGACTGTCATAAAATAATGACTTAAACTTTGGTCTGTTCCTCACACAAAGGTATAATTTGATTGCAGAAAACGTAGAATATAGTGTGCCAGTCCAATAGAGTGTATTGAATTATTGAAGAGTTTGTGCTCCCACAGAACAAATAACAGCATAGTTAACGATAAGCATGAATGGCACGATTTACATTTTGCAATGAGCTATTTCTTGAAGATGCATTTAATCTTAGTTTTAGAGACGTACCTGCATTCACACTTGGTGTGTTCTGTGAAACTCAGTTGAAAATTATGCTGTGATACACGATGTTTGACTCGCAGTACCTACAGGAATACACAAAAAAAAGCACATTTAGTGTGAGAGCATGTATTCATGCACTATATGACTGTATTTTATCATTTTCATTTTAGTTTACACACTGTTGAATGAATAACAAGACCAGGCCTCAACTGTGGCCAAGAGCAACTTCAGTCACATAAATGGGGCATAAACACAGTGTGCAGCGGTAAACAACATAGCGGACATGCCAGTTAACACCGCCTCGCTGTCCCAGCGTTGGGCAAGCATGAAGTCATAGGAAGCAGGGTGAAGGACTGCACGCGCTGGATTGAACCAGTCTCACCTCCATGGTGACGTTGCGCGTCTCTGTAGGGACACACTCGAGCGCTTCGTCGTTGCAGCAGCCTGCACAGCGCATGAGAACCACACAGGACGGGATGTACGTGTGCTCGATCTCGTCAGGATACTCCCGAATGATGTCTACCAGCAGCTCTCGAGTCTTACACGCACTTTTTTTATACACATCCATGAAGGGAATCACTAAAGAGGAAGCAAAGCGAGAAAGTTCAGTCACTATCATACCTTTTTTTTGCTTTTTTTTCTGTGAAACGCAAAAAGACAATTTTTGAAGAATCTTCATGCAGCTCTTTTCCATGTTCATAATGACCATGACTGAGTTTGTCCCTCACACAAAGCTATCATACGACTTCAGAAGTCTTGACCCTTGTGAAAAAAGAAGTGCAATTAATTGTACTGAATGTGCACTTGTAGTGTACAAATCTTAAAATAGTGTTTTCAAACTGTATGTTTAGACATCATATAATAAATATATAATATGAATTAAATAAAAGGCAACTTTCGTGAAAGTGCACTTTGTAATAATGTCACATTAAAAGTTTAACTTGGAAGTACATTTTAAATAATTGTTTTATTAATCTTTTGTTGGGCTTAAAGGAAGTACACAAGTATTTTGATGTGTTGACTAATATACTAAACCACATGTAAAGTACTTGATTATGCTTTTAACTTTAATGTGTTATTTAATATAACATTTAAAGTTACTATATTTTTATTTGACTAAATTGCAACTTATACTTGTATACTTTTTATAGCAAGCAGTCATGGTAACTATGAAAAGAGTGGTGTGAAGATTCTTCTCCTTTTGTGTTCCATGGTCAAAATAACAGCATACATGTTTGGAATAAAATTAGAGTAAATATATATATATTTTTTTACAAAAACATTTCCTGAGCAAGGCCCACCATTAAAGCAATCCGTGGCATAACACCTGCTCTGCTCACTGGGGACTTCACTTTCCCAAGTGGGAATAAAAAAAAAATGTTGAGGCACACACACCGGCACATGTGCCCCACTTGCACATCCACCCTAATCTGTAAACCTCCCTAAACTGGCTTCCCATCATTCATTCTGATCACGTGCCTCATGACCCGCTGACTGCCAGGGAAAAGCATGACCTCAGGCAGTGTGGCGCCAGGCTTCACTGCAGACACCTGACCTCCATGAGAAGCCCACCCTGCCTGACACTCCCTGCCATCCATGAATCTGTCAGTGCCCCAGAGCCATGCAAGAAAACCAAACACAACTGCATTCATGATGCTGATCATGATAAAGTCAATAATTGCTGGTAATCAGTTGGTGGTACCAGCCACATTTCACCCAGTGCCCTAGCATGGCACTTCTTCATTTATGGCCATTTTGTTTGTATCTCTCGTATCTTTATTTAGCGAAGTGCAAAATCACACAAGGTCCTGCTTTGATTTAGTAACTCTTAGCCAGTTACACTATGGTTCTGTTTGTTATTAAGCAAAAACTGACTACTACTAACCAAGATTCAATATGTTCATTTAATGCAAAGCAAAACCGTCTAGCACAGGAGTTCTACATTGTGGGAAAGTGCTTATGAATGGAAGCAGATTGGGAATGACGTAAAAATAACAATACACGTTTCCCCAGAAACGTAACAGGGACTCTATACAAACAACCAGGTCCACTGCTAGCAAATAATTGTGACCTTGAGGACAAATCAGGAATAAATCATGCAATCGTTGTTAATAAACAAACTCAGCCATGGTCAATGACTCCACACAAGGTTGCCTGCGGGTAGAATAAATTATTCACTTTGACGATCCTAATGAGGGTGGGAAATATGCCCTGACTCCTAATCTTGAGTGCCCAAGCAAATATTTATGTAAGTTCAGGCTCAGTGTGATATTAAACTGATTAAGGAGAAACAGTGCTGCGTAACAAAAGAGAACTGCAAACATACAGCATTGGATGGACTATATAGGCCTATTACCTGCCTCAGGACTGGAATAAAACCATTTGCAGTTTAATCTTTGCCTTCAGAATGCCATTACATGTATGTCCTCCAGGTGGCGCTGGACTCTTAGCCCCATTTCCAAAACATTTTTCATATCATACATACTTCAACATTTATGAACACTGCACATAAAAAGAGACTTACCCTCATTTTTGCTCTTCCCCCCTTCTTTGGGTATGTGGGCAGCCTATTAGGACAGAGAAGTGACAGTTCTAAGTGACAGAACACATAAAGCAAGTTATAATCTGACCTGTGTTATACACCACTGAAAGAAACTAACAGTAATGCTTGGGAAATGCTTGAGCTTTGCGCAACCAAATTAACTTAATTTATGCTATACGTGGTCAGAATGTAGAATTAGATGCTTAGTACATAAGTAAGGATTGAGGACTCTTATTAAAGGAGTTTAAAGTAGTGGTTCTTGTCCTTTTTGACTCCCATTGGCCAAGAAAATAATAAAAGGCACCACTATTTAGGCTGAAATATTTCCTCTGGTACTGCTGTAATGGTGAAAAAGCTGCTTGTTTTCCAAACCTTTAATTACCATTAACGTGCAGTCTCAACAGATAATAAACAGCAGTTCATTTCATGATTCGATTAGTTTCGAGAACTGTAATTCCTTCGGTAAAATCAACAGCTCAGCTGTTGATGGTACAAATAAAAAAGCAAGAAATATGATGTCAATTTATGAGCAATGTCAGAGGAAATATAAAAACCAAGCATTTAGGGTGTACAACAGCTTGTCACTGGGGCAGTTGCATCAAAGCTACACACATTGTACCCTTTTACATGGGTATATATTGGTATTTGTACCTTATCTACCCCTACAGAGCACATATTAGTACCTTAAGTGTAACTACGATCCAGTGTGGGTACATCTAAAGAAGTCCTATAATCGCAAATATACCCAAACTGTACACTCTAAAAATATATATATATAACCCAGCATTTTTTAGAGTGTAGTTAGATTAAGTAAGACTTATTTTAATTTTAAGCCATCCTATGGTCCCCTTGCTGAGACCCTCTAGTAGGCCCGAGGTCCTTAAAACCAGAGAGGCTTTCCAAATCTACACTCTAAAAAATGCTGGGCTAAATACAACCCAGTGCTGGGTAAAATAGGGACAAACCCAGCAATTAGGCTGTTTTGACCCAGCGGTTGGGTTAAATGTTCAACCCAACCATCTGGCTAGTAACCCAACCGCTGGGTCAAAACAACCCAATTGCTGGGTTTGTCCCTATTTTACCCAGCACTGGGTTGTATTTAACCCAGCATTTTTTTAGAGCGTAGTAGTAGTTTTTTTTTTTTCTTTTTTCTTTTTTTCCCTCAGGATATAGAATCTCCTATAATCTTTTTAAAATGGAATTTCATCTTATACAATCTTAGTATGGGAGTTCATCTGTCATTCAGAACGGCTGCAGAATGGTTCTCCTGCTACAGCTCAGACTATTCTTTCCCCCGCCTACAGATTAGTCTCGCCGGCGAGAGAGCGCGTGATCGGCCGCTGGTTGGTCGCGTTACTGCAGGTGGTGCGTGGACCGGCGCAACAGCTCTCGGTGTTGCGTGAGAATCTCGCCGGTTTGCCTCACAGACCATCTGCTTTATATCTAAGCAGACATGTTTCATATTCTGCACCTAACATTAGGACAATGACGACTAACCAACAAACAAACCTCATACACATGTGTTTCACGCCATGAAACATGCGTTGCCATATCACGATTCAAGTAGGTAACGTTCAGGTAACATCGTGTCATTATTCTCGTCAAGAGAGCAGTTGGTTGCATTAGGCACTAAGTATTAAGGTATCGCGAGCACTAATAAAATGCAAAAGAAAGTCAATGCTGTGTCTGTTTTCACAGTTTTACTAGTAAGAAATTCCCTTCTGACTGATTGAACAGAACAGGATACTCCCGTTAGAGCACGTAGTCTATTGTATATCTAACATAACTGCTTCAACTGGAAATTTGCGTTTATATATATAAAAAAAAGTCTAATTGAGATGAAATCCCTGTACTTCCGAGGATAGAAACTGGTGGGGCAACTGTATACCTCCACATTAACAGCAAACGAATGGCTTTATCCCACCATCATTTCTCACATTTCAAACAAAGCCCTTACCTTTACAGCAGAAAGATGAAGAAGAGCCGCAAAAAATAATTGTAGCGAATAAACAACAAAGTTCATGATTGTAATTCCAGTGGTGTGTTGCGGCGAGCGCCACTGAACAGTCTCTGGCTCTCAAAACTATTCGAAGCGGAATATGAATATGAATATGAATATGAATATGATATCGTGGGTCAAAGTAACGATTCCATGCTGCCTTCAGGACCGAAGCACCTGCGTCGAATCCACTCAGATGAACTTCTTCCAGAAAATATAATAATATAAAGAATAGCAATTGCAGTCAAATAAAATAATAAATAAGAAAAGAAACCGGGGAAAATCCACACTATATTGGTCCTCCTTCTTCGCCACGGTATAACGGAAAGTCGACGATTAATAAATCGGATTCCAAAATGTCACAGACAAAACAAAACAACCAAAAAAGTTTTCAAGCGCACCCTCCACTCTGCACGCGCGACTCTGGGGCCAGGGAACGGCTTTTGCGCATGTGATTATCCTCAAGAGCAAGACATTACATGTGCCGGTATAAAGTGATCCGATGGCAAGCCCTGGTTCAACTGCAGCAGACGTGTCCTTCTTTTCCTCGTCTTATTTCTGCTATTGCTTTGGCTTTTGTTGTCTTATATCGTTGTGGATGTTATCTGGCGGTTTGGAGAGGTCTTGTCACTTTGCGCTCGCTCTGTCTTTCAGCTCTTCTTGCCAGATCTGCAATCTTGAGAGAATCGGCACACAGGCGCTGATTGGCCAGCCGGACTCGACGTAGATTATGATGCTCCAATGCAAAGGGCTTGACTCACTTCAGCAGAACTTCAGAAAGTAGGAAATTATGCACAGTTGCCATTGCGTGTGGATTATTCAGATTCATAGACAGTCCAAGAATGGATATAGATCTACAAAAGCATTTCAACTGTATCCATATTTCCTCACACATCTTCCAGTTCGTTTTGTACAGCTTTGACAAGTTCGTGGGCTTCCTAAAAGGAAGGAAGGATGTGACTTGATAAATGCTAATTAACCATTAGTTCTTCTTTAGACATTATGGAAATTAATTTAAGTTAATTTAAGTAACTTAAGTGCATTAAGTTAATGCATCAGCTAACATTAACTACAATACATTGGTTACAATATTTATTAATCTTTGTTAATGTTAGTTCATGTTAGCTCAAGTCCATTAAATAATATGAACAGACACAACTTTTAATTTCAATAATGTATTGTTGAAATTAAAATGAACTCATACTAAAAAAAAATGCTTTAGATTTAAAATTGTAATTGTTAACTTGTATGTGGCCAACTGCAGTTGATGAAGGAAAGTACTGCAGGCATATAGGGTTTTCTTTACAATACATAAATGTTCCTTATGTTTCTATTATTGAGAAAATCTAGCATTTTGCAATATATTGAGGGTCCCTGGATTGCCTGGGAGTCTGGGTGAGGGAGTCCTGTGAAGGTTTATTGTGTTGAATTATGCCAAAACAAACTTCTTTGGTGCTTTTCAAGTGTTCAAATAAGTTGACAACATATTGTTCCACTGAAAGAAAAGTGTCTTGGGAAGAGTACAGAGCAAAGCCAGATTTATACTTGTTTCACCAAAGAAAAAAAAATCTTTGCATCTCATCGATATATAACAGAATAAGTGTAAAATAGGTGTCAGAGTTGGCTTTAATAAACATAAAAGGAACATTAGTTTGAAAATCAAACCAGTTTCTCAAATACTGGCTGAGTTTTAAAGGTAATAATATAACTTTATATAAGTATGTCACACAGAGGTTACACAAACCGTTAGTTAACTGTAAAGGAATTACACTGGAATCCCTGTGATAAACATTTAAACTACCACAATAATATTTACAGACTTCTAATGTTACAGGTTCACATGCTTTATGAATGATGCCTAGTTTATGTTTGATCTTCTAAATATGTATGTAAATATTAAAATGTTTTTCATTTTCACAAATCTGCCTGTCACTCATGTCTCCATCGGGACGCAGCTACCTGTGCTTGGCAGTCCTGTCATATTTTGAAACTAAGGCAAAAAAAACCTTGTGGATGAATGAAAATATGAGCTGATGTTTACTCCCCTGCGGGCCGTAGGAAGTGGCAGGGGGTAATACTGGGGCTTCCAAGTTCCCATGAGTACAACTGCTGAGAAAATCTAATTCAATCTGCTGGTACGTGAAGACTCAAGGATGGCGCCCCAGTAGAAAGATGGGAGATTTAGACGTAGCTTCATTTCCCTTCGAAATCACCATGACCTCTTTCTCACTCACACAAAAAAATACTCATTCCCTATGTTCCCTGCCACAGATGGGTCACGGCCTTCTCTCCCACAGCGCTCAGAGTCAGGCACTTTACTCTGTTACTATGGTTGCCAGCCACTTAAAGTCTCCTTCTCTTTATGCTCTGTCCTTATCCTCGCTAACTTGATCCTCGAGTGATAAGTAACCTCTGCTGTTTCTCACTGTGGAACTATTTGGCCTGATACACTTGTAAACCATGCACTCATGCTTTGGCACAATAACAGTACTAGTATTCAGTGATAAATGTCATCCTGGAGAAAAGCTGATTTCATATAATGAATTAGCTTGTAGTAAAACTTTAATAAGCATGTTTGGGGGCATCGACTGAACATCTAGAGTGATCCAACGGGCAATAATGGCCACTGCATTTGCAGCATAAGGCAAAAATAAATTCCATAGCTTTATGAATGCATCTAGTAAGATCTTTGTTGATTTTCTTGAACTCAAGTGAGAATGAATTATCTCGGCAGAGAGGAGAAAGAGCTTGTGTTCATTTAAAGGAATTGATGATGAATTCATTTGATTGAGCAGAACAAGTACTTGTTGTAGATCTCTTCACCAAGTCCATTTATTCAGTTTCACCCATAGAGGGCACTGTGTAGACATGCTGATAATCCATAGAAAACAACTTTACACATATTAAGAGCAGCTACTTAGATACTACATGATGCGTCATGCTATATATTTTGTATAAAGTATGTTTAATGGCCCTATAACGCTCTCACAGTCACATCGATAGAATTCATGCCCATATAATTCAACAATCTAAATGCATTGGTTTTATTCAAGTCAATATATATACATGATTTCAGATTTTAATATTCTCATATGAGGATGCACACTCTGATTAGATTTAATTTCTATACTTCACTGAAAAGTGTATATTTAGATTTAAATTGAATCTTTTTCTTAGGCTTTTCTTTGATACTATCATTGTCAAGGACACATTGTCCATAAGCTCACATTTCAGCCTCCTGCTCTATTTTTTAATAAGTGATTTTTGCATCGAAAACCTAACTCCAGCCAAGGTCTGTCCCACAGGTTTATCTGTCGCCTTGTCCAACAGTCTGAGTGTATTATGTCTTTGTAAAGGGCCTGATAGTTTCTGACACAGAGCGGAGGACACACTCAGATAATTCACACCACGAGTATCCACAAACATATTGCGCACAGCTGCACTCCAAATAAAAAGCCAAAAGATCGATATGTGAAACGGGACTCTCTCGGGACTGGACGCACCTACTCTGCTGGACTGACCCTACCCACAAACACCGCTCCTTAATCCTAAAGGCCATTTGGACTTCTTTAAGACGTCTCACATGCTTTCTGTGAAAATATTTAGTCTGGGCCTCATGTCCAAGAGAGTCACAATGATAACATGAGCTGCTGCAGATCAAGACAGAGCTTGCAAACGCATTGCATAATAATGGAGAGAGTTACACCGAGGAAGACAGGGTCAGAGAGGAACTGAAGAGTGTGAAAGAAAGAGATGCTGGATTGGGGAAGTTCCTTCAGCGGCGAAATGACGTGAGCAGGGAGACGTGGTGAACTCCTGCTACGGCATTCCTTAACAGGATTTAATTGAAGAACAACATGCAGGTTCATCTGCAGCGTAAAAAGCCTCCCTAGATTTTGCTGATGTCAGGAGCATGTTAACGTACGGGCAGAGATACTTAATGAGCCCTGTCAGCATCAACACCCACACTATACACACGCAGGCCTGCTGGAGCATATTGTTGAATTGCAGCTGCTGTATAAATGCTCACCGATGATCAGCATGTCCCACAGAATCTTGAGTACTTACTCTGTCCTATAACTGACTTGGGGCTGATCATGGCTCAAATGGTTCCTTAAAATGAGTTCATTCACATGTTTGTACTGTTTGTCTTTATAGTCTATAAGAGCGATCAGCTTGCTTGCTTGGAGGTCTTGAGAAAGATACTCAATTCAAACTATAAGAACGTAGCATTCAGTATAGAGATTGTAGTTGTGCTGAGGAGCAACTAGCTAAAAGTAGTGATGCTGCTAAGTTATTTAAAGAGACAGTTCATCGAAAAATGAAAATTGTTATAATTTACTCATCCAAATGTAGATAATTAATTTTTTTATAAATTATCTATAAAGATAAAGATTTTTTTTGTCCACACAATGAAAGTTAATGGAATCCAAAATGACTAAATAAATAAAAAAATACATTATGCAATCAATCAGTTTATTCATACACTTAATTTAAATAGCATTTTAATGAGTTGTTATAAGTTATTTAAAACAAACAAACAAACAAAACACCTGTGTTTAAACAAATATTATTATATTATCATTTTTATATTTAAAAAATGCTTTTGTGGGAAAACAAATCAAAATAATCTTTCATTTTATTTTATTAATACAGTATTATGTATTTATATTTCTTCATACTGTGCTATGAGTTTATACTTTTTCTAGTTTGACAAGCTACAGTTTTGAAGTTACGTAACACTAAAGCTTTTGTTTTTGTGTGTGTTAACTGAAGCTGCATTAAAGTAGGTATTAAACTTGTGCATATTTGCTAGTGTGTGAATTGTTTATGTGTAGGATTTGGGAAAACTGCTTAGAAATGCTTTAAAACAAATATGTGACCACAAAACCAGTCATAAGGGTAAATTTTTCGAAATTGAGATTTATACATCATCTGAAAGCTGAACACATAAGCTTCGAATTGGGTGCAAAAAAAATCTAAATATTGAGAAAATCGCCTTTAAAGTTGTCCAAATGAAATTCTTAGCCATGCATATTACTAATTAAAAATTAAGTTTTGATATATTTATGGTAGGACATTTACAAAATATCTTCATGGAACATGATCTTTACTTAATATCCTAATGACTTTTGGCATAAAAGAAAAATCTATAATTTTGACCCATACAATGTATTCTTGGCTATTGCTAGAAATATACCCCAGCGACTTAACACTGCTTTTGCACTGCAGGGTCACATTTTTGATTCTAGGATCCTGTGGCCAGCTGAGAGATTTATGGAGAGGTAAGGCTCTGACGCAAGTTCATGCTGTTGAGAACTCTTCATAGCTCAAGTTGAGTAGCTTTGGAATATGGCCTAGTTAGAAATAAAGCGAGGAATGGAGAGTAATAAAACGAGGTCTGGATTGACGAAATGATGGGATTGCTGTGGTTTCAGATTCTGTTGCTAGTGCACTGAAAAATGGTAACATCTAAATTAACTGGTTAATAATAATAATAATAATAATATGTATTATAGCTGAACCAAACCAAATACATTAAATCAAGGTTAAATCAAGTAGAAATTGATCTTGAAGGTAACAACAGCAGGTTACTTCTTTGGAAGTGTGATTTGTCTAACAGACTGATTGATTTATTAATAACAACAAATTCAA